CATTGCCTCCTTTCTAGAGCTGCAAGAAAGTGACTAACCAAGGTCACCTTGCTGACTTTGTATTTAAGCCAGAATTAGAACTTACTATATAATATTTTAAAAAAGAAACTGAAGGCTTGCTTTTGGCTGTGCAAGAGCAAGCTATTCAAACTAATGCAATCAAGGCCAAAAATGAAAAAGCTTTAAGTGATTCAAAGTGCAGATTGTACAAAGAAGCAGAAGAAAGAGTAGATCATATATTCAGCTCATGCTAGAAGATCATACAAATTAATTATAAACAACATAGTACATTTGCCAAAATGATTCACTGGAACATATGTAAAAATATGTACTAATAATGAAAAATTGGTGGGTACATATAGTTGAAAAAGGAGATTGCTAGCACTAGAAGGTCATGATATGCAGACAGGGTGGCATGCAATACTATGGGATGGGAAATACAAAGCACGCCAGTATTTCCAGAAACATAATATTAGATGAGCACTACTAGATGTGTGGATTAAAATTAAAAAATCTAATTACATGAAAATACCCAATTGGATTTCAACACTGGAGATTTTTTTGCACCCAAAATTTATGAACCTGGTAAAGGTAATTACATATAAAAACATTCTAGATGAGACCAGAGAATTGAAAACAAGAAGGGAACTATTAGAAGATGGCATAAAGTTGGAATGGTGGGCATACTTGCAAATACAAGCACGATATAGAAAAGATAAAAAAGAACCTGGGATTAAACTAGATTAGAATATACAGAACTAGACAAAACTCTGCTAGGAACTGACGACAAAATGATAAAAAAAAAATTACCAATATTTATTAGAACAAAGTATGCCAGCAGAACAGACGAAAGATACAATGTTAATTTGGAATAAAAACTTCGGCTATAATATCGAGTTAGATTATTGACAACTACTGTGGGACAGGAATAGGAAATTAACATTAGCTACTACTTACAAAGAAAACTTATACAAGATGTTTTACAGGTGGCACCTTCCCCCTATAAGGCTAGCAAAAATAGACAAAAAATCTTCACCATTATGTTGGAAATGTAGGAAAATATCAGGGACTTACTATCATATGTGGTGGGAATGCTCAGAAGTTCGAAAATTTTGGCACTTGATAAAGAATTGGTTAGAAGAGATACTATCATTAAAAAAGTGAAGCAAAACCAGAACTCTTTTTATTATGGATCACTATGGATAAATTCAGCAAAGGAGCTTTATATTTAATTCTGCACATTTTAACCGCAGCAAGCTTAACATATGCTCAAAATTGGAAAAGAAAAGAACCCCCCCCCTGAAGAAGAAATACTAAACAAAATTCTATCCTGTGCGGAAATGGACAGACTGACATTAGAACTCAAAAATAAAACAGAAACAGAATACTTTGAAATTTGGAATAAAGTGTATAATTGGTTGGATTTTAAGAGGTACGCTGGGACAAAGGCTGATGATTAAGTAGATAACCTAGACATTCTTATTTTAATATTTGTCATATTAGATAGAACCAAAAGTTATTTAACTAGGATGTACTTTATTGAAAGAATGCGCACTGTGTAACAATGTAATAACTTAATGTAAAGTAATATTAATAGTATCATTTAAACAGGGAAGTTGTATCATGTCCAATGTGTCTTTTTTGTCTTTAATTGTATTATGTTTAATGTGCCTTTTGTGTTTTTTTAATTGTATATTCAATAAAATTTTGTATAATAATAATAATAATAATAATAATAATAATAATAATAATAAAAGTTGAAATAGAAGTCAAAATTGAACATGGTAAAATATTATGGTATTTCTGAATGTAGACTGATAAAGTCCTGGCTCGTAACACACCATATATAACTGGTTGAAAAGAAGAAAGTGTGGATAATTGATGTGGCAAAACCTGGGAATAGTAGAAAGATAAAGAATCAGACAAGATCACAAAGTATCAAGATGTGAAAATTAAAACTGAAAGATTATGACATAAACAAAAATCTTTAATGGCACTTAGAAAATCTACTCATTGATAAAATTTTCATCTGTCAATCTGTAAAAGGCCACACTACTTGGATCAGCTGATACACTATGACATCCTAGGTTTGATGGTTTCATACTAAAGACCTGGCAGCTGTGTCTTCACATTTTGTAAACAGATTATAACAACAGGATAGGATTCTAAAGCTTTGTTAGGTTAATTAACATGTAGCAATTTATATTGTTAAGGATAAATATTAATTGTTAAAGCTGAAAAGTAATCACATTTTTGTTTAATTGCTTTATAGAATTCAAGAATTTTTATGAATGAAACAACTGGTAGGCATAGTTCAGCCACTAAATGAACATATTATAATGGCCAGTAGCAGTTTATATTTAGTAATACTATCAGGAAACTTCAAAGGAATATTGATTATTCTGGCTGCCTACATGTTGCCTTAAGGCCAAATGTTAGAATGAAAGAAGGATGTGAAAATGAATGTGTAGTATTGACTTTTTAATGATTTTATATGTGCTCATGTAAAATGGGGCATTTCACCAAAACAGTAAACCTGACATTTCATTTACTTATGTGAAAAGATTTAACTTGACTCATAAGTCAACCTCTTCGGTACCACACATGGAATTGGAAATATTAACAGTTGCCATCTATCTAGCACACCTTCCTGTGCTCTTTTTTTTTTCTTTTCACCAGCACAATTGGTAAAGAGTGACATTTCTTGGGACTTACTATGGTCTATTGAAATACCATCAAAAGCTGCTTAACATAGCACAGGATTTATCCACAAATTTCTACATCTACTGTAGGCTTACATCTAGGCATATAAGTGTAATAAACAAATAAACAATGACTTAGCAGGGCTAACTCAGGGAAGGCATGTGAGCTGACCTTTTGGATAGTTGAATAGATTCTATATAAGATCCTCAGAGTTCAGCATTAATAATGACTAAGATGCAATACAAGTAAAACTTTTACTAAAGGTCCAGTTTGTCTTTATGCTTTTATGGATAAGACAGTTATATGAAAGAACTTTGTACTTTTAAAGCTTATTAACCCCTAACAAGTATATCAGTTATCCCTGGATCTGGAGTCACCTCTGTGTTTATCAGGGGAAACTCACTTGGCTTCCTCAAGAAGGAACCGTAGAAGAGGAAGTCATTTTCGATGCAGTCTCACTGATTCTTGTCCTGAATTGTTGTTCTTTTGGAAGCACTCAGGTTTTTTTTTTTCCATCTTGTGAGGAAGAGTGACATCTGGGTTCAATTTCTGCAGGCATAGGATCCTATCCCTGACTAGTACCTATAATCATCATACTTGAGGGAGGGAAATAAACCCTTTCTGATGAATGGATGAGAAAGTAAGAAAGAGAATTCAAAAATGTGATTGTGCCATTTTGCATATTCAAGAGTCAATGACAATTTGATGGATGATCATCTGCTCAGACATTCTATTTGTTTTGGATACATGGTTCAAGCGTAGGTTGTTCATGTGTAACAGAAAAGGGAACAGATTTAAAAATGTGACTGGTTTAATTGTTATGATGAAAGACTAAGAGAATTAATGAGAATGCAAGGGTGAAAAGAAGTTCTGAATTTGGGACAGGGAATTATATGGTACTTCAAGAATAAATCTAGGAGAAAAATGGACCTGAAAGAAAAGTAGAAATGAAAGAAAGTAGAATGAAAATGGAATTATTTCTCTTCCAGTAATAATTTCACTTTCACTATAGTCTCTCTTCCTTTCCTCTTCTGCTCTCCCCTCCCTTCCCCCTCTTTCAATCTACCATAGATATTGAATTTCTCATCAATATAGATATAGATAAATTATTTGAGTCCTATATGTGTTGCAGTCCACACACACACACACATATAAAGACACATAGAAATTTGTTTCAACAGAGGGGACTGATCCCTTTGACTCTCTGCATTGGAATATGTGGAAAGTTGTGGGAGATGTGGGAGTCCAGGAATCTCTCCAGAAGGAACTGACTGAATCACCTCAATGTGTTAATGATTAGGTAATTTGCATGTCTTCAATAGAAACAATTTCTAATCTTGCTTCAGAGTTTCACCAGATACAATTATGCCATGCTTGTGTGATTCTCTAGAATAGTTTTCTTCAGATTGTCTTCAGCTAAGGGCTTATGGCTCTCTGACTAGATGAATGAATGCAATTCCTCCACCTTAGTGTATGGGGGAGGATAAAGAAGAAAGGAAGGGCAGGTTCTGGAGCTCAGAGGCTGTTTTGTGGATGTGATTGTTAAAAACTTATTCCTACTAGAGGAGCAATGGTTTGCACACTGCACAAAGGATGTGGTGCAAAGTGCATGTATATTTATGTTTTGTGTAAATTCCTTTCCACATGTTTGAAAGAATAATCTCTTGTTGAGGATTAGTAAGAACTGTGTAAATATTGGAAACTATTCTGAGTATAATTCTTTGGAAATTATGATCTCAAATGGAATTAATTTCCATTAGCAAGAAGAAAGCAGGTTTTATTTACAAAAAGTATTTCTCAGAATACATAAATCACTTTCAGTCTTCATTTTTAACTTTATTATTGTTAAATAAGGAGCAATAGCATAATACTAAATATGAAATCAATGTAATATCTACAGTGCTGATGGCTCAGTGTAATTATATTTTCATCATGATGTATGGGAGGCACAGAATTGATGGCAATGTGTTATTCCATTCAAAATAGTTCAATTTTAATCAGATCTATACTGGCAATAAAAAGAGAGAGAGAGAATTTTGAAATGTGCTTATTCAATTATTGTTTATTCACATATGATTAGTGATTTTGCATTTGTTTTACAGAAAATGCAAATTTGTACATTGGATGGATTTCTGGGAATATGAATGGAATTACCTGTGAATTCTTTTTCCACTCAATATAATGGAAGAAATAAATGCACTTGAATGGATCACCATATACTCTTAGTTGAATGGGGCCATTGCATATTCTGACCATACTTCTAAAGCCAAGGATTTAGAAAAGCAACTTTTGAAGACATGACCCATTTGCATACTGGACTCAATCCAGAAATCATAGAGAAAGCCCGTCTGGAGCTTAATGAAAACCCAGATGTTTTGCACCAGGATATTCAGCAAGTAAGGGACATGATCATCACAAGACCTGACATTGGATTCTTGCGTACAGATGATGCCTTCATCCTGAGATTTCTCCGAGCCAGAAAATTTCATCAAACAGATGCCTTCAGATTATTGGCTCAGTATTTCCAATATCGGCAGCTGAATCTGGATATGTTTAAAAATTTCAAGGCTGATGATCCAGGGATCAAACGAGCTCTGATTGATGGCTTCCCAGGAGTGCTAGAAAACCGTGATCACTATGGCAGAAAGATACTTTTGCTCTTTGCAGCCAGTTGGGATCAGAGTAGGTAAATGTAGATAGCATCCTTATCTATTTTAAAATACAACATTCATTAGCAAATGATTGATTATATAATTGACAATCCAAATATTTTGTATTATGAAGCTTATTCAAATGTTGCATTGTTTGCCGATTATTTGACTGATCTAATATTCAACATGATAAATGAAGAATGTGTTTAAGTCTTGCTTCAGATGTGTATTTAATATTTCACATGCATAATTCAGATTTTAACAAAATGTTTATAGGAAATATTGCCTAGTAAAATTAAAATACTATTAGAACTGGGATGATATATTTTCAAAAACAGTCCCTTTTGTAATCATATTTACACTGTTACATATTTTATAATATCATAATACAGCTGAACTACAATTGACTATAATACTGTGTTTTCCACAGTATTTGGGTCCCAATAAGACCCAAAATGAAAATAAGCTCTACCATGATTTTTCAGGATGCTCATATTATAAGTAAGCCCCAGTTAACATCGTCAGCCAGATGGACACATTTAATACCATATAAGACCTAACTAGAAAATAAGCCCTTATATGACTTTTGGAACAAAAATTAATATAAGACCCTGTCTTATTTTCGGAGAAACATGTTACTGGTGATTCTATATGACTAAAAGAAGTTTGAATAACCCATAGAAGGAAATTCTTCTTTGCTATAACCAATCTTTCCATAACAGTAGGTCCAATAACTTCTACTTTGTTAACCCAAGATGTCAAATACTTTTAACCATTTGAAATTGAATAGTGAATGGGATATAAAGAGCAAAGCATTACTGTTATGTGAAAATGAAGAAGGAAGGTAGGGAAGGAGGGAGGGAGAAAGAAAAGAAGGAAGGAAGGAAGAAAGAAAAGAAAAAGAAGGAAAGAAAGAAAGAAAAGAAAAAGAAAAGAAAAAGAAAAGAAAAAGAAATTAATCAGAGTAATATTTTTAAACTTTCTGAATATAAATAGGTGTTTAGAAATGTGTTTACCCACAAACTCTATTAAAATGAAGAGTCATTTTAGTGTTGCAAGGTTTCATTAATGGTAAAAACAAAGTTTGCAAAATCTGTCTTTGTTCTATATTTTATTATTATATACATAATGTCATACATAATGTCAAGACTTCTGTCTGTAGTGTGAACAAAAACATTTGCAACACATTAAAATTTTAATTTAGATAAATTATATTTTGATTAAAACAATATCTTTTAATCCATTGGATTATTAAAAAAATAGTGGTACAGAAAAAAACAGCTTTAAACAAAACACTATACTGATATTTCTGAAAGTAAAAAGGAAGGGATAAAGGTGCTTATTATGGGTAAAGTCTAATTAATCCAGATCAATGCTCTTTTTTCTGTTTGATGAACCACAAATTACACTTCAAAATAGAAAACAAGAATCTATGAGAAATAGTAAGAAAAAATTTCCATTTCTATCTTTTACTGCCAGGATTAAAACCATTCCACTCTCCCTTTTGTGCAGTTTTCAAAGATTTCAGTGGTAAACACAGACATTCATTTTTTTTCCTCTTGCCAAATAGCAAAGACATCATAAATGACAAGATTATGAGAACAGCAAGAAAAATGTTAGCAGACTCCGGAAATTAAAGCCACATGAAAATAGCTCTGTAATCAAGTATTACAAAGGCTTACCTACACAATCCTTTCTAATACAGAATAGAAGTAAACCATTCTTTCTTTAAGGAATACATTAGTGTTTCTGAAACAAGACAACTTTAAGATATGTGGACTTTTATTCCCAGAATTTCCCAATCAGCATGCTGGCTGGGAATTCTGGGAGTCGAAGTCCACATATATTAAAGCTTCCAAGATTGGGAAACAGAGTTAGATAATACAGACAAGTGATTCAAGCTAAATGGATCACATTCAGTGCATTTATTGGTTTTTCCAAATTTGTTTATGGTAGGTATGTGTTTTTGAAAAATCTGAAAATATTAAGTTATTAGAAAATTACCAGAAATATCTTTGGGTTTTTTTAAGAAATAAAGAAGAGACAGGTGCATTTGTGCATTACATCTTCTAAGAATGAAAAATATCTATCAATTTCTATCAGATAAGCTCTGGAAAAAGGAAGTTGGTGATAAATTCATGAAAATGCATTCTGGAGTGATAAAAAGTGATTTCATGTTTGGTTTTGTTAGGCTACAGGATGAATTAGTTCTAATCTTGTCATGATCTGTAGCTTTTCAGCTAAAAGGATTCAGAAAGCTAAGACAAACAGATACTGTGAAATGTGATGAGGTCTCAAGGTAAGAAAGTGGTCTGAAGTAGATGTATCTGTCTTAAGGATATTCCTGGATCTAGTTTTGTCATTAGATTTCATGGTGTTTGCAATGACCAAGAAGATCTATTTTCAGTTTTAACTGATTTACTATAGTGTAAGTATCTTGATAATTTCATGTCAATTATTCCACATCTCTTGAAGATGATGCAGACACTTTAAATGATGCAGGCTAATCATGATCAATTACTGAGCAATGTTAAGATGATACCATATCAATTCCCCATAATCTCCAAAGACAATTTCCTCCTAAAATTACTGCAAACTACTGCAGATGCTATTTAAGATCCCGATTAGCTCTGAGTTCAAGTATTCAATGGAACAGTTCTTCCAATGCATATTAACTTGGTTTTTAAGGTAACTGGTGGAAGGCTTGGTTATGGTGCCACTAATGGACAACATCTGAGTGACTGCTTTTTTAATTTTTTTTTGCGAAGTACTCTTGGATTTTGAGAACTATAATCCAACACATCTGGCTGGCACTATTTGGGGGAAGACTTCCCAAATCACAAGGAATAACGAAGTTCTTCTTGAGACAAGAATCATTGCAATTCCTTAAGAAAAGCCTAAATCCTTTCTGTGGAGAATAATTTTTATTATAATTTAATATAATTTAGCACTTTCTCCACTTTTTAATAGCTGGGCATAACTATATGGGTATTATAATGCCTCCTTTAATGATCACTTATGCAGTGACTATTCAGATTCATAACAGTGCAACAAGTGGTACTTATGTCTGGTTCTTGTATTTACATTTGTGGCAGCATCCCTGCAGTCATGTAATTGTGATTCAGGCACGCAGCACCCAGCTGCCAATTATGACATTGCAGTGGTCCACAGTCATGTGATCCCCATTTGTGACCTTCTTTGCAAGTTTCCTAAAGGCAAAGTCAATGATGAAGCTGACTGAAGATTGCAAATCACATGATGTCCTTGCCACAGTGATTTATTTAATGACAGCACATGGAACTATTGGAATTTCCATTGCTAAATGGTGCAATCACACTTCACAATTGAGTCATTTAGAAATGGAAATTCTGGTCCCAATTACCATTTTAAGGGAGGACTATCTGCATTTATTATTTTATTTTCTTTACAAATATTATGTGTAATCAATTAAATAGGATTAACTCTGCTGATTAAAAATAAAGGTCAGGATTTTTAGAATAAAATGCAAAACATTACAAATTATGATATTAAAATAATGATGAAAAATGCTAGCATCTACAATGCCATCATGGATAGTGAACTATTATACTTCTGTTCTAGTGAACATTATTAAATTCTGAATTACTTGCAATCTGAAGAAAAGAACTTGCCTTTTCTGGTCAGAAAATTAAGAATTATATTTGGAGGACAGTAATTGTCAGAAAGTTAATAAGGTACAACATTAGATGAACAAAGAATGCTATATGGAAAAAATAACATGTTTGCAATTATGCATGGATACATACATTTTATCAGTTTTAATATTTCATTCCTATAATTTGATCAAATAAAGCAACAAGCAAATGAGATAGGAAAGAAAAAGAAGAAATGAAGAAAATACGAAATGAAGAAAATGAACAAATTGAGAAACATGTAAATAATATTGTAAATGAACGTGAATAGATGCATTTAGTTCAGACAAACAATATGAACATATTCTTGATGAAAAGAATATAATGAATAATTGGTCACACTTCTTTATATATCTGTGTTGATATATAATACAAGTTCTAAACATGATGTAGGAGATGAGTAGGCTGAGCCCAAGGGAGGGATCAAGTGCATTATCAGTCTTGAGTCACTGCCCACCTTGAATTCTGTTGACTCTTATCCACTACCAATTTGCTTTGACTGTTATTAGTTCAGATATTTGTAGAGTGTTAACATGCAATAAACCTGTAATCATTTTAACTGCTTTCCTTCCTGGTTTCTTGTGGATGACACCTAATCATTTAAACAGACTGGAAATAAGTCAGTACTGATTTCAATTAAAGAAATACAGGGAACTGATTATTATGTGAAATTGGTTCAAACTGAGCTAGGATAAGTCATTTTATTTTATTTTTAAAAAACCCTCATGGATCACAATAAATAAGTTGGTTACAATGAAGCACTGGAGCAAGTGAAGTTAAAATTGGAAGGTAGTAAGAAAAAAGAAAGAAAGAAAGAAAATTACTTCCTGAATTATTGAAAAGTGATATGAAAGAATCTCCAAACAGAAATGAATGGTGCTGACAGCATATTTCCAAAAAATGTGAACTTTTGTCTACCTGAATATTTTATAAACCATTAATAGGCTATGAATGCAAGGTTTTGAAAAGTACTTACTGCCTGCAGCAAAGGCCTAACTCAATCTGTTGGCCAATTATGTAGCTGGGTATTGTAAACTATTTAATTAACAGCTGTGCTGGTGTTAATTAGGCAAGCAGTAGGCATGATTTGATTTATAAATGAAATGCATCAAGCTGTCTCTTTAAATTATACTGATGGGACAGGGAAGGAGGAAAAAGGAGAAAAAAAGAGAGAGAAAGAGAAAGAGAGAGAGAGAGAGAGAGAGAGAGAGATTTAATTCAATCATTCCAACTTTTAGATGAATTTTTGTTTTACTACTAATTGGAAAAATTTCTCTATCCATTTTTTCATTAAAAACTAAATGGGACAAAATTGCACCTTGAAAGTGAGACAATTTATGAGGTGAAAGTATTGGAGTAAATAGTACTTACCATTTTGTTGTCACTTTGTTTAAATTGTATTTAAGTTATTTTTCTTGAAATAAGCATTTCTCTTTTGGGTCCGTTAATTTCCCCCATTATCATTATGAAATATTCTGCCACAGTTCCAAAATGCATTGCATAAAAAAATGAAGGTTTCCATCACAGCCTATATATGTATACTGCTCACAAAAATAAAGGGAACATTTTACCATGGAAATGAAGGGATTTGCGTTCCCTTTATTTTTGTGAGCAGTATATATAGACAGATAGACAGACAGAATTAAAACTTTCAACAAAATTCATTCTTTAAAAGTTTCCTGACCCTACAATTCTTCATCAATTTGCAGATGGGTTTTTTTGTTTAATGAGATATCTGATGTTATTAATTACAAGGATAAAATTGAATTGACTATTCTAATTCATTGACCAGAATACCAATTTGTCCACTTATCTATGGGGGATATATATTGTTGGGTAAGATGTCATTTTGATGGGATTTCATCTGAGCCTGCCTAGAACTAGTCCAATTTAGGTCTGAAAGCCTTATTGCCAAGCTTCTTGTGTTAGCAAGAAAGACGTGGAAGGACAGAAGACATAACTGGAAATAGCCTTACTCACTCCATTAATTACAGTCTACTGACTGTTTCTAAAAAAAGTTTAATTTAATATATAATATAATAATTATATTATTGCCATAATTTTATGATTTCTTGAACACATGGCTTTGAGGACAGCAATTCCAATGATCAGGAGAGAAAAATCTAGTACATTTATTTATGCCAGATTAAAGTTAAAAAGCATTAAAAGTAAATTCTAGAAGTAAATAAAATTTCCCAGCCCTATGTTTACTATATTTTCTCTTTATTACTGACTTCTATTTTGATATCCAAACACTATTTTTTTTTTTGCTTTGGAAAATTCTATGGTTCATGGGATTCTCAAAATACTTTGTATTAGTTGTTATATTTTAACATTTTAACAATGCCTATTATACGTAATAATGAGAAGGAACTCCAGAAATAACTTTGCACAGGTTCAAAGAAGTAAAGTCATCACTTTGTCACAATTTCTACTGGTAGAAAATGAGCTGCATTTGTCTAGTGCCACAAAAGCAAGTGGGTTTTTTTGTTTTGTTTTCTTCCAACTTATGAAAAATGATTTTTCTCTTTTCTCCCATTCGTAGAAATTCCTTCATAGATATTTTACGGGCTATTCTCTTGTCCTTGGAAGTTCTGATTGAAGATCAAGAGCTTCAGATAAATGGCTTCATTCTAATTATAGACTGGAGTAATTTTTCTTTCAAGCAAGCCTCCAAATTGACTCCTTCCATCCTCAAACTGGCCATTGAAGGGTTGCAGGTATGTAGCACAGAAGAAAGTGTAATACCTTGAGAATACCTTGAGTTTTTCTTTTCTTTTCTTTTTTCCCAGGAATACTGTTGTCAAGTACAGAAACAATTAAAAAATCAATAGAAAATCATGTTGAAACTTGAGGCTTAATTAAGAATTTCAGATGTTTATTTGTTTCAAGTGAAACAGTGAGCCATTTTTACTACAGGGCTGTACTGCATGCAGCAGCAATTAGAAATGTTTAGAGATTTGAGATTTAATCCATGGGACTTCCGGGTGATTAATAATTTGCAACATCTGCCAGACAAAATATATACCACACATATAGAGTGGCTGCATATGTGCTGAATGAAGGATAAAATAAGTATCCAGAGACAGAGCTTAGCATCAGACTGAATTATCATAAGGCCAAATGGCTTTTTAAAAATAAAATAAAATAAAACAAAAACAAATCCAAACTATTAAAGTCAGAGCTTGAGTGGAGATGTTGCCTATGTTTACATCCAGAAATAAATGAACAGACATTCCTAGAATACTGGGAGCAACATATGTAGTTTGCTCTTAAATATCAGATTCTGTCAATAATAGCATTTGAACTACTGTGCTTTTTCAGCTGAAGGCAATTTAAGGGATATTAGGAAAAGAAACGCTGAATGCACAAGCAAATTTTATTCAGTTCAGAAAAGTTTGCATCAACTAAGTGCTTTCGGAATAGCCAACTCTGGGGTTCTTGGTATTTTCTGAGCTTGGTGGTTTTCTTGCAGACATTTCATTACCAAACTAGGCAACATGATCAGCACTAGAAGGGAGTGGGATTTGATCTTATTTTTATACGCTAGTATATAAAATACTAGTATGTAAAAATAAGAGCATTTTGTATACTTTTTATATACTGTATATTGTCTGACTACCAATCTTTCCTGCAATACTATCCCCACTCCTTCGGGGATGTCTAATTTGTCATAATTCTCATGGGAAGTCTCTAAATTATTGTATTTTAATAGCTAAGCAATATTGATTAATAGTCCTAAACAGCTGCAACTATCCAGAATTTGCTTAGTTCATCTAATATTCATAAAAAGTGCTTAGTTTATCTAAAGTTAAGATGCCATTAAATTAAAGTCAGGCATGTTTAAATGTTCTATCTCTGATACACTGGTAAGGAATAAGAACAAGAGTTGCAATCCTTTGGATGCTATTCAACTTATTTTTGAATATTATATTTACTATGACTATATATGATTATATGATTATATTTACTATATTATTCATTTGATGTAATAGCCTTTCAGGAAACCTGGTTAACCGAAGTGGATGAACCAGTACAACTGCCACCTTCCAGAGATGGGCTTCCCCAGCATAAAAAACAAAAAACAAAGGGAGACCCTCTGGTGGGTTATGCATTCTCATAAAGCAAGAATTGCGTGGCAGGGGGAGAAACTATACAATGAAGACAAGTATTCGTATTTTCTAGCTGTTAAATTTAGATGTAAAGAGTTCGAGTTAATACTGGTAAATGTGTATATCCCTCCAAATACATCACAGTATTATAACTCCAAATACTGGATGGGTCTGGAAGTTATTCTAGATTATATATATATATATATATATATATATATATATATATATATATATATATATATATATATATATATATATATATATATATATATATATATATATATATATATATATATATATATATATATATATATATATATATATATATATATATATATATATATATATACTATATTATTCACTTATTATGTTGGATTCCATAAATATAAGGACCCCTCTCCTAGAAGTGTGGTTCTGCTGCTTGATGTTAATAATTATGTAATATTCAAAAAAGGTACACAGTATTTTCAAGGGCAAAAGTGAAATAATATTGGAATACTGGTTTCTCTTTTTCCCTATGTACCACTCTTTTTCCCTATGTACCACTGATAAATTTCCTTATTGGGAGGAATGTTGTGTGTATAATAGATAATAGCTATACTGTAGTAACATTATTGCGTGTGTGTGTGTGTGTGTGTGTGTAAACAATTGGATTCCTCATTAGACTGATTTTTTCCCAAAGAATGTTAAATTGCAGTCAAAAATTGATTAGTAGGAAATGAGCCCTTTTGTGCAGAAAGGTACTATTTGCCTCTGTCTTATTTAATTTATTCCCCAACATTAGTTAAATATTACATTTTGTTCTAGATGTAAGAAGAGCGAACTAGCTACACTTTGCACAAACAATTGATTAGTATGTAGGCAATGTTACCATGATTTTTAAACAAATTATGCATAATAATTGTAGTTTTTATATCATCAATAATAAAGGTTCACTGGGTTTTAAAAGCAAACATTTATTTATTATGCTTCTAAACATATGCCTAACATCCCTGTTGTGAGTGTTGAGTCCTAAAGTATTTTAAAAGTAGATAATATAAACCTATGATTCGTCTAATTTTGGAGCATAAATCTACACATTGGAAGCTTCCAATTAGCTGTTGCAATGTGCTTTATTCAACACCAAGTGTTTGTATAATTAATAATTTTAATTTTGGACCAACACAGTTCCAGAATTCAAAATGTCATTTATGCTGATTTTCTGTGTGTATAGAGCCCTTTTTAATATGGGGCAGGGGAATATATAGTAATCCTATTCTGTCCATCCTATCACTTCTGAAAAGACTGCTGATTTCAATTTAAATCTGCTGCATGTAAGCTCAGCCTTTACAGTCTTAAAAACCAATGATTGAAGGACAGAAGAGTGAATTATACTTCTGTTTGGTTTAAGGCTAATAGTAGTTTTGGAACCTTTTGTTGGGAAAAAGGTTTAAAAACTCTGCTGTTCCACAGTTCAACCAACAGCTATTAAAAGTAAAGCTTTCTTGAGGTGAAGTTGTTCATGTCATTTATATTTTGTTTAGCATCTGAATTATGCAGATACGTTCTTTATATAGCAATGTATTAAATAGTAATAAGCTTCTTGTCAGGAACAGCATTTGAAAGAAATTTATTGTTGTTGGCTTTACCAAAGGCATAGGAAAATATGCACTGTTGTGCATTTTATTGCTATACCTGTCACATTCTCAATATAACATCTCTGTGCCAAGTGTTACTCTGGAATGCTTTGTTCTAGATGCTTGTCAACTTTAAAATATTTGTTTTTAAAATGTCAGTATCAGAAGGACATGGGAATGTTGAGAAATTGTATGTTTTATTAAATGGTTTAAAAAAACGCACATTAATCTTTATCATTTAAAATTGTAACTTTATAGATAGGGCTTCATGAGCTCTTATAAGATGTGAGAAGAGGTTCAGGTCATTAGAGACAGAGGTACTGCTAATGGAACCATGTAATAGGGTGTAAGCATGGTTTTGCTGCACCAATCCGTTCACTACTAGGATAATATTTTCTGATTTTTAAGCCATTATGTTTGTTTTTTTCATTTTCCAAAACTTAATAGAACAGGCAAACATAAACAATTGCAACAGAGTTGTGTTAGGTCAGGCCATTAATTTCCTTAATCAATCAGATTTATTACTCACTTTTCATAAATGGTGCAATGTTGGGCATAAAATAACATTAATATTTTCATTACCTGACCAATCTACTCTGCAATAATAATGTCAGGTTATGAAAGTATAGAAAAAGAAAAGTCAAGAGCAAAATAGAAACACCTATCAAAGTTGCATTCTGTGATACTGCTGGTAAAATCTTAGAATTTAAAATACTGAAGAGGGAAAAAAATATTCTCTAAATAAGTATCTTTGGAAAGTGCATTCTATTAAATTGGATGATACTTTTGGCCAGGTCCTCTCTGCACTTCATTTTATTTTTGCATAGAATTTGAAACTGCACGAAAATGATGAGATAAAATGAGCAGTAGCAATAAACTCGAAGAACAGGAGGATGAGCCACTGCAAAGACATGATCAGACAATAAATGTGAGTCCAAGGCAGAAAGCAATTTGAGAAAGCATATCAGACCTAACTTCTAATTCGCTTGAACATAAAGGATGGGAGTGAAGAAGTGTACTCAGATTTGCAAGATTCTTTTATTGCAAGCTTGTAATAAAAGTAGTATTAGCATTCATAACTTTGGTTTCCTAATCTAATCTACCTTGAAGGGCTGACAGATATTGTTTATGATTACAGGGAAGAAGGTATAATTTACTTTTCTTTCATAGCTTTTGTATTAGAGAGAAAAGTGGTTGGAAGCCTTTCATTCAGTGTTCTTCCATGAACATTCCAAAAGATCCTCTTGGCCTTTGAGACATCTGGGTTGGGCGGCGGGGGGGGGGGGAGATAAAAAGACTTGGGTATTTAGAAATGGCAAACATTAGCTGAACGGACACATTTTTACCAAAACTGTATCAGTATCTAAGAAGGTATCCTCCTAGTAAGCACAATTCAAGGACCAAAGTAAGTAATATTTAAGCCCTTTTATACCCACAAGTTCAGATACATTAAAAAAAAACATATACATATACATGCACACATTTTCTTGACTTTCAAATAAGTTTCATTACAATCAAATGGCATCCTTGGGTATTACACAATTCCTTTAGGATAAGATATTTTTTCCTGATAGCAATATGGCAAAGACATAGTGCTGAATAAAGGCTATATCCTTTTCTTGCTAATTCCCTACATAGATTTTGATTAGTAAATACTATTATAGGCATCAAGCATTTCTGTTTTCTAGAAATATTAAACAGAAACTGATGTCATGTTACCAGATTTGGGTTTATCTAATCAACTTTCTTTGTACAAGAATGAAAACTGCTAAGTAGCAAGTGGACAGATGAAAAAAAACTAAAACTAACAAAAAGGATATTGAGAAAAATTGTATATAGCATTTTTGTGAATAATCAACAACGACATGGATTCAAAAGCATGTATATTCATGTATCTATCTGCTACTAAATCTCTGATATTTGTTTGCAACCTTCAAAAAGACAAAATGGCACATCATACGGCACCAATTTTTGAAACAACATACCCCAAAT